TCCATTGCTGATTTTCTGTTGGGTCCATGTTCTTCTCTCCAGACCGATGGGATCATCCTACATTCACTACGCTGAATCGTCTATGAAGAACGGGTTTGGCTTGAAGTATTTGCACAGGTTCTTCAACATCCCCTTCCTGCAGCTCCAGGTTAGCTTCCTCCACAGTCTCTATCCTCCATGCGGGTCCTTTCTCAGCTCTGATGTATTTTCTAACTTGCTAGGTTCTCAGTTGTTGTCTTCGTATCAGTGAGTGGTCTGTGTTCATGTCTGCTGGTCTGTCTCTCTGGGTTACTGGTTGTGTATCTCCACCGTTGATCCAGGCATGAAACAGGACCTCTGGCTGGATTTCTGTTTTATTCTTGCAGAGAGAAACGCTCCTAAGGCAGCTGGAGACCAACCAGCTGGACATGGACGCCACCCTGGAGGAGCTGACTGTCCAGCAGGAGACTGAGGATCAGAACTATGAGATGTATGGCCAGTTTTCTCTTTGTGCTTCATAAAAACCAGAGCCCAGAACTATTCCTGCCTTTTCCCGATGACTTGTTTTTCAGAACAAGTCTTTTTACTTATCAAATAAATTCTTATGTGACTTTTCCAGTTTCTTGGAGAACCTGGAGTCTCGCAGTAAGGGCCATGCTTCTCCTGGTCCGACCAACGGTCAGAGTCCCTCCTCCGGCTCCCAGTCTCCGGTCGTCCCTCCCAGTGGTGCTTCCACAGGCAGCTCCAGTCCCAGCACTCCTCAGCCTCCACTGGCTTCCCAGATGCTTCCTCAGGCTCCATCTGCACCCTCCCCTGCTCCCCCTACAGCAGTAGTCAGTGGAACCTTCACCCCCATGGCTGAAATTAAACCTCCTCCCCAGTCACCCGAACACCAGCAGTCACCCTCTGCACCTGGGGGGTCAGGTCCCCAAAAACGCAGCTTCATATCTCGCTGGTTTGGTTCATCTGCTGCTGCTGAGATTCCTGCCTCTGGTCCAGGTAGGTTCAGACCTGCTTCCGGGTCCCTTCTGCTTCAGATCTGTCAAAACGTTTAAAGCTGAACTGATGTTGTTCAGCTCCACTGAGGCTCTGTGTTTCTGAGCGGGAAACGCTGCGAGGGAAGCAGCTCTGACTCACGCTTATATCAATTTCTTCCCTAGAGGAGCCTCCGGCACCCATGTGTCCTGCTAAAGTTCAGAGTGTGGATGATTTTGTGCCAGACGAGAGACTGGACAGGAGTTTCCTGGAAGACAGTGTGCCCTCCAAGAACAAGGTGCCCCAACCTGCTCCAGCTGTGGACAGCGACAGGTGAGAAACCATCAACAGGAAGTCAGGGAATCCAGCCGGAAGCAACAGGAAGTCAGGGAATCCAGCCGGAAGCAACAGGAAGTCAGGGAATCCAGCTGGAGGCAACACGAAGTCAGGGAATCCAGCCGGAAGC